GGGCAGCTCCTGGGGTGAGCGTCTGCCCCCTTATGTTCAGTGTGCGTCATATTGACTGGTTGACTGGTCGTTCTGGTCGTTCCGCCATTCAGTCGCTGGGCTTTTATTATACAGTGGGGCCTTGACTTACAAGTGTCCCGACTAACGAGTTTTTCAAGATACGAGCTGTCTCTTGGCCGATTTTTTTGCTTTGAGTTGCGAGCTAAAATTCAGGTTACGAGCCAGCTTCAGATACCCCACCGCTAGTTGGCGCAGCGGACATCACAGTGAATGCCACAACATCAGCCCAGCATCACGGGTCTCGCTCGTTCACTTCTTGATTTGACATACGAGTAATTTTAGTTACGAGCTCTAGAGAGAAACAAATTAAACTCATTAAGTCAAGGCCCCACTGTATAGGATTTAAAAAATATTTTTATTGATTTTAGAGTGGAAGAGAGAGAGAGAGAGATTCATCAGTGATGAGAGAGAATCATTGATCAGTTGCCTCCTCCATGCCCCACATTGGGGATTGAGCTGGCAACCTGGGCATGTGCCCTGACCGAGAATTGAACTGTGACCTCCTGGTTCATAGTTCGATGCTCAACCATTGAGCCATGCTGGCTGAGCAGTTAATTATTAAATGTAGTAGAAAAACTTTGGGAAGCAAAAAAAAAAAAAAGCTTCTGGAGACAATTTCACAAAAGAAAAATACATCTGATGTTTTCTATTAGTGGTATGCACAAGCAGACAATTATTGTCCTGGTGTTGTTTATATTGGGTTTGGTTTGTCTGCTGTTCACTTGCTTTAGTTTAGATGTTACATATTTTGAGATTCAAGTTCAGAATTAATTGAGGGAAATAAGAATTGTGCTGTTTAGATATAGAACGATGGTATATCCTAAAGTCTTGTGGGTGGAGAGGGGAGTGGTTTTGTTGATTGTAACTCTACTGTTAAGTTAAAGTCTTGGTAAATAGACTCCTGTGGTCAAGTTTTATAGAACAGCTTTTCCCCCCTTGGACATTTTACCCTTTTGTGTATTTCTTTGCATGCGAGTAGATGTTAATGCTGTTTCTGTGACCTTAGACACTAGTTTTTTCCCAAAAGGCTGATAACTTGAATAATTAGAGGGGTAATATATTTTAAAATTTTAATTAAACTTATTGGGGTGACATGGGTTATTAGCATTATATAAGTTTCCAGGGTACAGTTCTAAATTATATCATCTCTATATTGAATTGTGTGCTCACCATCCAAAGTGTAGTCTCCTTCTGTCACCTTTACCCTCTTCAACTTCCCTGCACCCCCTTCTCTGGTAAACACTATACTGTTGTCTATGAGTTTGTTTTCTATGTTTGTTGTTTTTTATCTCACATATGAGTGAAATCATCCTATATAATAATAGACAAACATGGTAATTGACCATATTTTTGCTACGCCTCCCATTGGCTAATCAGTGAGATATGCAAATTAACTGCCAACAAAGATGGTGGTTAATTTGCATACGTAGGCGCGAAGCAGCAGAGCGAAGGCTTGAAGGCGGCTCTGGCCGGAGCGAAGGCCTGGATCCTGGGTGGAAACCGGCTGGAGGAAAACTGGTGCTGGCAGCCAGGGGAAGGGAAGGCCTATTCTATGAATCTTTTCGTGCAACAGGCCGCTAATATACAGTGGGACCTTGATTTACGAGTGTCCCGACTAACAAGTTTTTCGAGATACGAGCTGTCTCTTGGCTGATTTTTTCCTTTGAGTTGCGAGCTAAAATTCGGGTTACGAGCCAGCTTCAGATACCCCACCACTAGTTGGCGCAGCGAACATCACAGTGAATGCCACATCATCAGCCCAGTATCACGTGACATTGTAATGGTGAAAATTGATTTGACATACAAGTAATTTGAGTTACGAGCTCCGTCACGGAACGAATTAAACTCGTAAGTCAAGGCCCCACTGTGTGTGTGTGTGTGTGTGTGTGTGTGTGTGTATTGTTCTTTTCCATCTGACTTATTTCACTGAGCATGATACTCTCAGGATCCATCCATGGCAGTATTTCATCCTTTGTTTGGCTGAATTAGAGGCCCAGTGCATGAAATTTGTACAGTTGGCGGGGGAGGGGTGTCCCTAAGCCCGGTCTGCATCCTCTCGCAGTCCAGAATCCCTCAGAGGATGTCTGCCTGCCAGTGGGATGAGGCCTAAGCTGGCAGTCAGACATCCTTCTTGCAGTCTGGGACCCCTCGTTCCTTACCTCCTGCCTGCAGCAGAGGCAGGAGAGGCTCCCGCCCCCGCCCCTAG